TCCCCAGGGGCCCCCACAGCCCTGGCCCCCCCCTCCCCAGGGGCCCCCACAGCCCTGGGCCCCCCCCTCCCCAGGGCAGCCCAGGGCCCCCTCCCCAGGGGCCCCCACAGCCCTGGGGCCCTGGCTCTGTCCCACCTCACCTCCACTCTCTGTTTGTGGGTTTTTGATGCTTTCTTCAGGATCCTTTCCATTTGCTGCAGAGAGAAGACAGAAGATGGGGGTGGGGAGATGAGGAGATGGGCCTGGGGGCTGGAAGCCATGGAAAGCCCGGTCAGTGGAGGGCTGGCTGTCCACCAGGCCTGCCCTCCAGCAGATGGCTTGGTGCCCTTTGCCCCCAGCTGTGGGCAGCAACAGGGCCTTAGGCTGATGGCCCTGCCCGAAGGCTGGCAGGACACCCCAAGCCCACGGCCCCAGCAGATAGCAGGGAGGGGATGGGGCTGCAGCCACTGATGCCATCTGTCCGTCAGTGGTGCTGCCCGGGAGGGCCAGTGAATGCTTCACTAGGAACTAAACCCACCCACGCGAGGGACCTGAGGGGGAGGGGCAGCCAGCCCTCTCCTTGCCATCACAGGCTCTGCGCACATCGTGGGTGGTTTCAGGACGGCCACACACGACCGGTCACCTGCCACAGACAACTGTGGGTCCAAACCTCAGGACGTCGGGGGAAGGCTCGGACCCGCTGGGAAACACCAGCAGGAACAGCAGGGCTCTGCGCCGCACACACCAGGCCCAGCTCTGCTTCACCCATGCACGCCACCTGCCCTCAGGTGCCACGCTGCGGGCCTGTGAGCACAAGCAAGGAAAGCAAGTGGGCTACAGAGAAGCCCTCAGGAGGCACCGGTGCCGACGTGTCCGGCAACGCCACACAGCCCGTGCAGGCTGCAAAGGCTGAACAGAGGGGAGACTCGGTGGCCAAGGGCCTCACTGGGCCCCAGGGGTATAGACAAACCCTAGCAAGACCTGGCGCTGTGACTCAGCCTACCTTCCTTCCTGAGGAGGCTGAGAGTAACCAACCTCAGATCCCAGCCGGCCCTACAGACACTCAACTCCCATTAGCTGGCAAAAAGCTGAGGTGCAGGTGTGGTTCAAACAGCAGGGTTAAAAAGAGCAAAGCAAAAGCTTGAGCGCCTGAGTTCAATCCCCAATCAGAAAAATAAAGAAAAAGAAAAAAAGCTTTACGAAGATTATCTCAATGTAGACGTTAACAAAAATATTAAAGGGCCTGGGCAGCTGGGTGCTGGTGGCTCACGCCTGTCATCCCAGCTACTCAGGAGGCTGAGATGTGAGGATCACCACTCAAAGCCAGCCCAGGCAGGAAAGTCCATGAGACTCAACTCCATAAACCACCAGAAAACGAAGTGGCGCTGTGGCTCAAGTGGTAGAGCGCTCGCCTTGAGCTGAAGAGCTGAGGGACAGCGCCCAGGCCCAGAGTTCAGGCCCCACGACCAACTCCCCAACCCCCCCCCAAAAAAAATCTGTAATTCTATCTACTCAACAGGATGAGATTATCGCAAGCAGGGCGCCACTGGCTCACGCCTGTAATCCCATCTACTGACAAGGCTGAGATCTGAGGATCTCGGTTCAAAGCCAGCCCAAGGAAGACGCAGTCAGGCAAGGCTCTTATCTCCAATGAAGCACCAAGAACAAGGTGGAAGTAAAGCTGTGTGGTTCCAGCGGTAGGGCGCCTGCCAGCCTTGAGCTCAAACCCCAGGACACACACAGACAGACAGAAAGACACGCACGCCAACAAACCGAAGCCGCCACCCGAAGTCACACAGGGAAACAGGCCCGACGAACACACACAGGCGATGCCCAGCGGACCGCAGCCCCGGCCCCGCCCCAGGCTGTCCCGGGTCTTGGGGTCCCCTCGGGGCGCCCGGTTTCCGGCCC